GGGCGCTACAGGGGTCACACTGAATAGTTCAGTTTTCTGGAATGGACAGTGGGATTTAAAAATCAGCATCCAGGAGCTAGCTAATTTTGAAAATCTAACACAATATGGGCATACTCTATAAACTTCACAAGGGCTTATCTATGGCTTTCAGCCTGAGTGATACAAGATCAATGAGACTCCAAAGAGCTTTTCCCAAGGAAATTTCTGTCCCCATTTCTTCAAAAGGATGCCTGACATTGGCAAAGGTAAGGAGTGCTCATGAACAGTTTCCAACCACTGCTGCTTTGACCAGCCAAACAGCATGGCGGGGCTCCTAGCATACCACCTTTCTCCAGGATCTTGCAATTCTGAAATTAGAGTACTTGAATTTTTCCAAGAGTTTCATTTTCTTCTAGGAGTCCACCTTATTGTGGAATCTCTCTGTTCTCTCTAAATGAGGAAAGAGGAGCACTCAGTCATCTCCCAGGAAAATGACAGCATCTGCTCCAGGATTCCAAAGAGATATTTCACCACAGCTTTTCACAAACTGATTACATTTAAAGCTCCTTGGGGAGTAAGAGGGTAGAGACCAGGAAGAAAGCCACTTCAGGGAAAAGACTCCTATTGGCATAGGAACTCTCAGCCCTCCCTGAGGAACAAACTTGTTTAAATACCACTAATCAGCATTCCCAAGCACAAGTGCACACACAATATGACTAGAGTTGCAATTTCATCTACAGCTCCCAAAGGGTACTAAAAGGGTTAAACTGTTCCAGGAAAATGCTTGTGCTTTGCCTATCAAAATGCTCCAGGTGCAAATTACAAAAATTTTCACTTCTCTCTGACCATAGCAGTGCACTCTCGTTATCCATCCTCAGCATTTGGGTGGCTGAGGCAAGAAGATCACAGTGAGTTCAAGGCCAGTGAGGGTTATATAGTAAGACCCTGTCTCAAAATACAAAAATAAACACGTAAAAAAATAATTTCTTTCTCAGCACTGTGATACACATATTTCACATAAGAGAGGAGAAAGAAAGACCTTGAATGCCCAGTGTAAGGAAGGGTATAGTGACACTGTGGACAGTGATGTGAATTCACCCAGACTATCATGTCTATCCCTTGTCCCACTCTTCATCACCTTTCAGTACTCAAGTACCAGCAAAGACACTAGCAGGCTAGAGGCCAAATGTGCCAATTTCTAACCATGATTCTGATCAAGGCTGCCAAGAATTTCCAGAAATTCATGTATATGAAAGCACTTTGTAGATAGGAAAAAGAATACTGTTTCTGAGTTGGACATTGAAAGGCATGAACTTTTCCAAGGAATCTAAACACCCACAAACCAAGAACAATGACGGTTTTTAAGAAGGCAGCCAACGCAGCAGACTGACTAAGGGGGCTTTCTTCCTACCCCATAAAACCACACTGGAGTAGGGTTTGTACTGCAGCCTCAGAAATTCTTCACAGCACATGCAAGCAGGTGGTTTAAAGTGTACACAAAATAACAGGAGAGAATCCCATAAAGTCCACTTAGAATCTATTTGCTCCAAACCATTCTAAATAAAAAGCAGAAACGCATAGAACAGTTTATCTGTTCCATACAAAATAGGAAATTAATGTCCAAAGAGTCTTGGAGTTATTTTGGTCTGTTTTGGTTTAGTTTGGTTTTCGTTTTTTTTGGTTTTTGTTGTTGTTGTTGTTGTTGTTTTTGTAACAGGGTCTCACGCTAGCCTAGCCTGGCCTGGAATTCACTATGCAGCCCAGGCTGGCCTTGAACTCTTGGCAATCCTACTGCATCAGTTTCCCAAGTGCTGGAATTACAAGCATGAGCGACCATGCCTGGCAAGGGAGTTTAAATGACAAGCACAATATACCTTTTGTTACTTACTCCTGAATGAAAATCTAGAACTTGTTTCATTCCTACTCTGGTTTCCTATCATTTAACAGCTGCTGCTTTGAGAGTGAACACAAAATGCAGCCTTACTAGTGAGGCTGCAACTGTCAGGATGGAAGGGTCCCTGACAGGCAGACTGTATGGTCACTGAGCATGCTCAGGTGCCAGACACTGGGCAACATGACTCCTATGGACTAGCTCCTGGGTACAGGAATGAGAAACACATACTATTTTTCTGATTTTACGAAGTTAAGAGACTCAACAAATGAGACTCAAAGATTTAAACCTGTATCTTCTGACTCCAACACCTACATTTTAAACCACCATGCCAAGCTGCTATGTAGCAATTTTCCTTTTTATCTTTGCATCTGTAAGAGAAGTAAATCTGGCAGCACCACAAGTTCCACAGAATATGTAAAAAGCTGAAACTCTTGTAGAGTGTGGGAGCTCACACCTATAAGCCAGACTCAGGAGGCTGACTCAGTAAGATAGATCGTCCTGAATTTAAGGCAAACCTGGGTTAGACTGAGTTCCAGGCCAGTCTGGCCTACAGACTGAGATCATGTTTCTAAAAAGCAAAACAGAACAAACAAAATACAAAATTTTTTAAATTCTTAATTCTAATAGAAAATCGGGTAGCAGGCACTGAGGCAAGCCCCCAACCCCAGGCCCTCTGTCCAGGGCCAACCCCAACCCCAAATCCTATAGTCTTCTACGGGGAATGCAGGTTCTAGAATATAAACTCCATTCTGGAGTTCTGTCTTCTTCACTGATGTATTGCCAGGGCCTATAAAAGACATACTAGGCAATCAAATTACAGTTAATGAATAAAACAAGTTAAACTGTCACCTTGGTATTGTGACCTTGAAAGGACTTCTAATCCTAAGCCTCAGTTTCTTCATGTAGTAAACACAAGGGATGATACTTCCTGAAGTGATGTGACAGGATGGAACATAAAGAGCACCCAAAATATAAACTATCTCTTATTACTACTATTACACACTGACAGATTTTGGCCTTAAGAATTTTTTTCACCCACACTGGTCAGATAATATTTCATTGTAAAGATACAGAATAGGAAAACAAAGTCCATAAAACTACTTCTACCTTCAGATCTGCTACCACCTAGCTGTGTGACCTTGAACAAACCTCTTCAGTTCTCTGTACTCTCCTCAGCTGTAAAATGAGAGACTAAACCAAATCAGTTCCATAAGAATTCATATGGGGCACCTTCTCTGAGGCAGACATCATGATCTACACCTATAAAATTCTACGATCCTGAATAGTGTCAATGGAAAAATATCAAAGCACAGCAAAACAGTCTCCAGCTTGCAGCATGGTTGAAGAGAAACTCCAAATAGCTAACTGCATTACATCATCTCAATGAGCAATATTTGTAAATATACAAAGTGTTTAATTTTGAGACACTCATCCTTTACCAATAAAAGAAATTGGCAGATTCTAATACCTATCAGCCTTGAACCTTCAAAAAAAATCCAATATGTAAAAATCATTTTGCACCTTAGTCAAACTGTGCTTCTGGAAAGCAATCTGGAAAGTCAAAGTTATTAATACTCTCTATGGCAACAGTTAAGAATAAGACGTATTTCTTAAATGACAATATCTGGCCAAAACTGCAGGGGGGATTCCAAAAACAAAATGCAGTGCATCTGAACAGAGGCCAGTGGCCATTGTTTACAAAAACAGGCTGGGATTATGACATGAGGCCAAGACCTCATTTATAACTCACAACCACACCTCTCTCAATCCCAGTCCAACTGAAACTATCAGTCAACTCTAGCATCTCTGTAATAAACCTACCAATATTTGCAGCCAAGTGGATAGAAGGTCCCTTAAGGCACCTCCAGCACTGACCAAACTGATAACATAAAAAAGATCCAGCAGACACAATGGGCACTTCAAACTGCCTTTCAACCTTCCAAGAGATAAGGTAACTGCCCATTTCACACTCCACCCCTAGCCCACACCCAAGGAAATCATTAGAGGGAAGACACAGCATTTCCCAAATCCTCTATGGTGGGAAAAGGTCTCCTTGCTTTGGTGCGGGGAAAGAAGGAGGGGCCCTTGCCTCTGTACTCTGAAACAAAGGAAAACCCAGAGCTCCAACCATGTGGTGTAACACTCAAGGCCACCCACCTCTCCCAGCTAAGGTCTCAATGGGCTGGAGCCACAAGGCTCTTCCCAGTGACTGGTCAGGAAGGGGCAGTGCCTTGCACACACACACACATGGTAGAGCTCTTTCGCAGGCACGAACATCTCCTGAAGGAAACGCTGGGTAAGGAAAAGCTACTTGGTTATGGGCGTGGATTTGGCCAGCCAAATTAGACAGTGGACTAGATGAGACAGGACACTTGGTTTCTCCAGGTCTATATTTTTGCTTTACCCTTCACATTTCTGCAGAAGGAAATGGGCCTTTAAAAACATGTATTCTGGAGCTGAGGGTGACAGACACAATTATGTCTTCCTATTTTCCAGTTTCAGCACCACCCTGAAACCTTAACAGCCCAACTCCATTCAGGTTTAGGTGAGGGTAGAAGCTGGTGAGGATGGTCATGTTCTTCCTGTCTGGTGATCTTTGATTACATGCAGGCAACCCAGCATGGCTAGGGACTTCCTGTATCCAAAGCCACAGCAAACCTGATGTATGAATACAGTACACCAGAAAAGCCCCACCTCTCCCAGGACTCTCCAAATGATACCCCTCTCAAGGTTGCCTTTCTGTGTGGACTTCTCTTCAGCCTTTCAAATAAATGTCCAAACACCTGTCAGATTTCAGCTGTCCTTCAAGGAAGCATGACCCACACACCTGAAGGCAAACTGCAGCCTTTCTCCTAGACACTGGCCCCTCCCCCACCCTGTCCAGTCTGGGAGGAAAGAGCTGCCAAAATAATGCTCCCCCTCCCCATACTCCTAAAGACCATTTCCAGTGCTTGGGCCCCTGACACAGTTCATCATCCCAAGGTTCAGGTCCACCTATGAAACCACCTCTGGGGTCAACCTGCCACCTGCTCCACCCAAGAAAAGAATGCCCTACAAATTAGGGTGGAAATGCACACCTCATCAGTCCGCACAGCAAATACATTACGCTAATTTTCAAAATCCTTACCTTTAACCTGAGTATCGTACTCTGCTATGATTTCCTTATCCTTCTTGAATTTGGCTGGAGACGTCATGTTTTCCTTTCTTCCAAATTCGAATTGCGCGAACTGACAGATCCACGAAAAAAATCCAACCACCGAAATCAATTCCTCTTCTCCCAAGGGCAGAGAGGGCCCCCGCGGTGGTCTCCAGAGCCCTGGGCGAGCACGAGTGGCGGGATGGACAGGCAGCTATGGCACACACATGCAGGCGGTGGGTACTGAGGCTGGGGGGCGGTGGCGGCCGGCTCCGTGCTAAAGCCCTAGCCGCAGCCGCAGCCTTAGCCGGGAGAACTGCTGCGCCCGGAGGCTGGCCTGGGGTCTGACATCAACGACACAGGCGGGGAGTGGAAGTCCTTCCGCACAACATGGTGTAGGGGTGCGGGGGTGTGGACGCGCCCAGCTGTGTCCCCGGGAGGGAGTGGGTTCGAAACGAAGAGCCAGGGGAGGGCTAGGGGTGCTTCCCGGGTTTTTTGTCGGACAAGCTCAAAGATGCTGCAAATCAAATCCCAAAAGGGAGCCACAGCAGCGCGGACTGGATCGGAAGTCGTTTGCTCCGGATCACTAGCCTGTAAATGCAAGAATAGGGGGAAGGGGAGATCAGTCGGAGAGCAGATCCTGATCTCAACAGGGGTGGGGTCGGGGACAACACTCGGAGCCCAACAGCCACCCATTCATCTCTGCCAAACGCCGCCCGCTCCGCCCGAAGACTCAGCACGATGAGGTGAGGCGAAGAAAGCTCCCCCGGAATTTTGTTTTAAGGCGGAAAGAAAATACTTTGGAGCAGCCGCCGGCGCGGGCACTGGGGCGGGGACTGCAGCGGGAAAGCGGCGCAGCGGGTGGGGACTGCGGCACTCCAGGCTTCCCCGGCCCGCCAGCCCGAAGGGGACCCCTTCCACCCTGCCCGGACGCGGCCCCTGACCCACGCTGGGACACCCCCCGACATCACGGCTATCCAAACCAGAGGGACCAGCCACGGGGCACAACTTTTCTTCCCCTCCCGCCCCTCCTCCCAGTTGTTTTGTTTTGGGTTACGAGCTTCTCCTGGCAGCAAAAATGGGAGGTGGGGAGGGCGCAGCAGGAAGGGCCCGCTCCGCACGGGACATCCAGGAAAACAATGTGGTCGGCAGAAGCAGGAAACTAGTTAGAGGCGAGGGTCTAAAACGGGAAACCCGGGGATGGGAGGCGGAAGGCGGCGGCCGCCTCCCCCAAGCCGGAGACCAGAGTTTTTCTAATTGGCATCCCTACCATCTTTATCCCCCAAGCCTAGGGACCCCAGATGCTGCACCCAGTCCCAGTCAAGTGGGGATGTGAGGGTCGCACCGGGTGGCGGGAGGAGGCGGCAGGGAAACAGCCGGAAGGGGTACGCCGCAGCGGGCCCTGCCTCCTAGGCCGCCCAGTCCCGGCCGGCCCAGGAGGCGGCTCCAGCCAGTGTCGCCCACTCCAGGGGCTGGAGGAAGGGGGAGCAGAGGCGGCGCGGTGCCGGGGAAGGAAGACCTCGGGAGGCAGGCGTGAGGTGGGGTCCAGAGGACAAGACCCCACCAGCCAGGACCGCCCCAGCCAGGAGGCGAGGCCCGAGAGGGCACGGAGAAGGCTGCTCTGGGGCGAGGCAGTGGGGGGACTGCGGTGGGCTACGGCGTTAAGTGTAAGGGTGTCGACAACTTTGGGCACAGGGAAGAGGATATGGAAAGGCGCGCGGGTGGAGAGCCTGGGAGGCAGACGGACGCTGAACCGGGAAGTGCCCCCAACCCGTGCGAACACCCCATCTTTCAGGGTCCTGGGCTGCCGGCCAATGCTGGGACACGGGAAGAGGCCAGCGGACCGTTAACGCGAGGCCCGGGGTCGATAGGGCTGGCCGTGTGCGGGGGCGGGGGGGGGCTGGAGCAGGCGGCGGCGCCGCGCGTGGGGACAGTCCCCGGCTGTGCGGGTGGGGCGGAGACACGCAGTCCTGAGAAGTATTATGGGCTGCACCGGGCGATGGGGAAGAGAGTCGGGGGGCGACGCGGGCGGAGTGGGCTCGGCTTGCGGCGCTGCCGCGTCCACCAGTCTAGCCGGGGTTAGTTCAGTCAGGGCAGCAGCCAGGCGGACGGGAAGGGAAGAGGGAAGGAGCCTTTACCTGGCTGCGGCGACGGGTCCCAGGCCCCGGGATCCGCTTCCCACTTAGCGCTCTCCGCCCCGCCACCCTCTTCTACGCAGTTCGGCCCCCCAGTTCCCAGAGGAGCCTCTGCCAACTCCACAAGACCCCGCCGGGAAGCAGAGCCCACCCCCGCGCCAATCACAGCTTGCTTCCTATCGACCGATGGGGCCTCTAGCCAATAGGAATAGCCGATCCCGAGAAGCCAGATGGGGGGAGGGCCGACGAAACTTGGAGGTATGACCCGCGCTCGCGGTAGCAGCGCAGTCCCATAAGTGAGCTCCTCCCCCTCCGGCCGACCCCTAAAGTAGAACCAGTGGGCGGGACAAAATGGAATCAGCAGCCAAACACAAACTCTCAAGAGAAGACGCGACCAATTGGGCCGGGCAGGGAGGAAGGGCGTCGTGGGAATCTGAGCCAATAGCGAGTACAGACCGCGGGGACTGTAGTGAGCATCCTCCAATAAACAATGCGAAGGGTGTGTCTTCCCACTCGCACAGGGTGGGGAGGGGGGGGTCGCCCACACGGACGCTGGCCAATAGGCATGGAGACATCCCCAGGCTGGACCAACCAGGGAGCCCAGCTGTGCCCGCACCGTTACTGGGGCCGGCCCTGGAGCTCATGTCAGGGGAAGGCCCGGGCCTCCCAATGTGGGACGTGGACTAGCTCGCGTTCTCCCAATCGGTGCCCGGCGCTGCAATTCAAACTGACAGTGGGTTGGAAAGGCAGAGAAAGCGGAAGGAGCAAAGACTGCGTGTTCGGTGTCAGGCTCCTTCAGCGCGGCCTGACCCTAACTAGCGGACACTGTCCCATCCAGTCCCGGCCACTGCTCTCTGTGGAAGCGACCTCGGGGCGATAGGCTGCAAGTTCGAGAGCTGAGGACGTGAGCACGCGTGCGGCCAGCACGAGCTCGGCGAGAGCGGCGGTGCAAGGAAAGGGCCCACGGCGGAGCCGAGCGCGGAGGACTGGAGAGGCGGCGAGGAGCGGGAGGGAGGAATCAGAGCGCTCTGCGGGTGGAGCTTACGCAGGGAGTGGTCGGAGGCGAGGCTTTAAATAGCCTCTAGGGACTGGGAATCGCCGCAGAGGGCTGGGAGCTAAGTGCCTGGACCCTAGGAGGACCCTTTACTCTCCCCATCTCAAACTCCACTCCCTTTTGCTTGAGTTAGAAGGAAGTAAAATTTGCTCTTGCCACTCAACAAATGTTAATTTTACTTTTCCACTAGGAAATCAGAACTCTTCCCAGTTTTAGGGCTTAAAAACTCGTGGCCTCAAGACTTGTTTTTTAGCCTAGTGAAATCCAACTAAGAAGGCTATTGCTCGTTTCCCCATTAGAAATTCCCTACGTATCCTTTCTGGGACTGACGCTATGTCTACCAGCAATTGTAGTTTCAAGGACCGATGCGTGTCCATCCTGTGTTGCAAATTCTGTAAACAAGTGCTCAGTTCTAGGGGAATGAAGGCTGTTTTGCTGGCTGATACTGACATAGACCTTTTCTCTACAGACATCCCTCCTACCAAGTAAGTCAAGCGGGTAGTCCTTTAACTGGGCAATGGCTCTCTGGGAGTCAAGGTTGTTATTTGGTGTTCCAGCCACTCCCAACAGTCTGATGATCCCCTTGGAGTATATCTAAGTGGGCAAACTGTCTGGACAAAGTCTGTGGTTTAGCCAAAGTGGTCAGTGTTGATGTAATGCGTCTAGGCACTTACAGTCATGTGACCATGTGACCCTTAAGTTGGATTCCAGGCTCAGTGCCTTGCCCAAACACCCTTTCTCACTGAATCAAGTCGTTGGACACTCACTTGGAAGGAAGCAGACAATAATTCATTTAAATTGGAATTTATGATAAACAGTGATAATAATTTTGAATGTTTTAAAATATACTCTAGAAAGCAAAGATTCCCTTGGAATTTTTTGTGAATTGGCCTAATTTGCATTGGTAACTGGAAAAACCAGTCTCCTGTTTATTGCAAAGATAAATGGATTAATATTTTAAGTTTGTGTGTGTGTGCACTTGCGTGATATCAAAAAAGAAAAAAAAAAAACAGTAGATGATAAAGTCATAGGACCCACTGTTGTAAAGGTTCTATGATTAGATTGCTTTGTGATGTGCTCACATAAATTCATCCATTCAACTTTACAATAGCTGTGGTCATAAAAAAGTCTCGGGTGAATTGTTACAGATTACAGTCTAGAACAGAATCAGGTCTCTTTTATTGTTTATTCTTTATTGAAGTTATAGTAGTGATTGATTAATGGGCTAAGATGTGCATGATTCAGTGAACACATTAGATTTTTTTTAAAGAAGGAAATTTGCCAAATGTTTGTCCTAAACTCAAATATTACCCAACTCTTACAAAATGTATTATAGCTCTAGAGTCTTGTTCAGCTCTGAATTTACAAAATTTGTGCCAAATCACAAGTAAAAGTACCTTTGATGGACTATGGAGAAATTAGGACCTCTGCATAGTGTAAGAACATAAAATGGCCAAGATGCTATGAAAAACAATTTGATGGTTCTTTTAAAAATTAAACACAGAAGGGTCTGGAGTGATAGCTCAGTGCTTAAGAACACTGGCTGTTCTTGCAGAAGACCCAGGGTCAAATCCCAGCACTCACATGACGGCTAACAACTGTCCATAACTCCAGTTCCAGGGGTCTGACACCTCTTCTGTCCTCAGAGGGCATTGCACAACACTAGTGCACTTACATACATGCAGGCAATACACTCAAACACAAAATAAAAATAAATCAATAAAAAATTAAACATGGAAGCCAGGTACAGTGGTGCCCACCTTTAATTCCAGCACTTGGGAGGCAGGCAGAAGCAGGCTGATTTATCTCTGTGAGACTGAGACCAGCCTTGTCTATATATCAAGTTTCAGGCCAGCTGGGGCTACAGGGAGACCCTGTCTCGAAAAAAAAAAAAATTAAACACAGACTTACTGTATAATCTGGCAATCCCACTATTGCGTTTATAACCAAAAGAATTCAAAGGAGTGTCTTGAAAAGATATTTGTACACTTGTATACATAACAACAATATTATTCACAATAGCTAAGATGTAGAAACTATCTATAAATTTCCATTGACTGGACTAATAAGTGGATACTCCTTAAAAGAAAGAAATTCTGGGGCTGGAGAAATGGCTCAGCGGTTAAGAGCACTGACTGCTCTTGCAGAAGACCAGGGTTCGAGTCCCAGCACCCACATGGTGGCTATGAACCATCCTTAAATCCAGTTCCAGGGGAATCTGAAGCCCTCTTCTGACCTGCATTGCAGGACATGGGTGCACTCACATACATGTAGGCAATACACTTGTACACATAAATGACACGAATGCACTAACATACATGCAGTCAGTACACTTGTACACATAAAATAAAAATAATAAAATATTTAAAAAAGAAATCCTGTCACATGCTACAATGTGGATAAATCTTGAGAACATTATGCTAAGTAAAATAAACTAGTAACAAAAAGAAATCCTGCATGATTCTGCTTATATGAAGTATCTGAAATAGTCAATAGAACACAAAGGTGATAGCTAGGAGGTGATGAAAGGGAAAGCAGGACGTTGTTACATAATAAGTATAGAGCTTCTGTTTTAAGATACAAAAAAGGTCTGGAGATTCATCTCACAACAATGTGACCATATGTAACAGTTTTAAACTGTACATTTTAAAAAGTAAGATGGAATGCTGGGAATATAGCTCAAGGGTACAGTGCTTGCCTACCATTTGTAAAGCCGTGAATTAATTCCTAACACCACCAAAAATTTTTTTAGAAAGGAAGATGGCAAATTTTATCTTTTTTCAGAATTAAAATTTTTAGTGTATTTGATTATCTATAAACATTTTTATCCTCCAGTGCAGTGGACTTCATTGGAAGATGTTATTTCACTGGAATCTGCAAATGTAAACTGAAGGACATCGCATGTTTAAAATGGTAATTTGTGGCACTGTTGTAGATAGCCTAGGTTTGAAGATGGATATTGATACCAAAGCCCACAGAAAGGTCCACTGAACTACAAGGAACACTAATACAACCCAGACAGTGAGCCACTGAAATATTTGTTTAGAACTATTTATTCCTATTTTAAAATTATATTTTATTAATATATCTGTATATATGCATATTTATGTTTGTTTGTGCACATAGGGTATGTGTGTGCCATAGCACACATGTGAAAGTCAGAGGACAACTTGAGGTAGTCAGTTCTCTCCTACCATATGGAACCCAGGGATTGAACTCAGGTTGACAGGCTTGGAGGCAAGTGCTTTTATGCACTGAGTCATCTCACTGGTCCTGGACTATTTTTTAAGAGTCTTGTGACACTTTACATTGTATATGATTTTGTAATGTTTCAATGTGCATTCACAAGTATCTTCCCCCACCCCCAGTAAACCAGTGTAATCTGAAAGGTAACATTGCAATTTATACTCATAAAAATCGGGTTAGGGGAGATGGCTTAGTGAATAAAGTGCTTTCCATGAATGTGTGAGATCCTGAGTTCAATCCCTAGCACCCATGTAAAAAGCCAGATGTGGCAGCATACACTGTAATCCTAGCTCTGAGGATGTGAAGACAGGTAGATCCTTGGAAGTCCCTGGTCGGCCAGCCTAACCTAATTGATGAGCCCTAAATCCCACTGAGAGATCCTGTCTCAAAAAACAAGGTAATGGGCTCCTAAAGAACTAGACTTCAGATTGATTTCTAGCATGTGTATGTATACACATATATACTCCCTTTCTCTCCCTCACACAAATCAGATGTTAGCCCTGGTTCTACCCTTGCTTTCTCTATGATCTTGAGTAAACTCTTTAAATTTCTAAACCTTTAAAACTTGGTATCTGTATTTAATTTGTTTTGGCTTGAAACAAGATCTTATTCTAACTCTAGCCTTAAACTCATTATATAGCCCAGGATAGCCTAGATGTGTAGTAATCCTCTTGCCTCAGCCACCTGACTGACTAGAATTACAGAACTGAACCACCATGCCCAACTCCTTATTTAATTTCTATCCCCCCCCTTTCTTTCTTTCTTTCTCTTTATTTTTTTGAGACAGTGTCTCCCTATGTAGCTAAACCTGTTCTAGAATGTCCTGTGGAGTTGGAACTGGTCCAATCCATGATCCTCCTGTGTCAGTCTCCCAAATGCTAGAATTACAAGTGTATGCCACCATTCCAAGCTTTTTAATTTCTATCTTAATATTTCCATTTTATGAAGATAATTTTAAAATCATCTGTATTTAGCCTCTAAGGTTATGAAGAGGAAATGAATTGCTAATGTTAAAAGGCTACATAAATTATAAGTCAAACAGATGAGTGCTGTTATTATTACCTTTTGAAAGATAGATGGATTTGTGTTATTCTGTTACAGAGAGAAGTTGAGGGTTTTTTTTAATGGGATTTGGAATGCAAATCAGCAGACTGTTAATGCATTAGTGACTATTTGAATTTATTAACTTGAGCTATACTTATATTGAAAACCTACTATGAGCTAGTCACCGCTATAAGAACTGGAAACACAATAATACATGAGATAAAGTTACTGGCCTCTGGACATAATATTCTAGTGGGAACATGATCATTAAATATGATATTAAAATAAGTAGTATATTTACTATAGTGGGAAGTACTACAAAGAAAAATATTACAGGTGATAGAGAATAACAAATTGGGGGAGTGGGTGAGAGTTCTTTTGGACATCATGGTCATGGAAGCCATCTCGTAAAGATGTAAATGTTGGAGCTGACTCCTAGGTATGACAAGGATCCAGAAGTATGTTCCAAGCACAGGGACGTGCAAAGACCTCTGGCAGGAAGAAGTTTAATTTGTTCTTTGAATGTGTTAACCTTATTGACCAGTGGGAAGCCATTCAAGGGGTTTGGCAAAGAAGCAAAATAATCTGACATCCCCACTGGAGTGTTTGCTCCATGAAAAACAAGGACTTGGTTTTGTCCATGGGTGGAATCTTACTACCCGAACAGTGCCTGGCATATCATAGATGCTCAACAAATATCAGCTGAATGAATGAATAGATAAATGAATGAAAATAGGTGGTAATTGAAACTATATATTCTTGAAGTACAGCCTTACAAATAACTGTTAGTTCTGGTCTAAGAACAATTTTTGTTTTCACTTATTTGCCTGCTAAGTGGGTTGTAATTATATGTCATCTTTTAGGTATGTTTGTATTTTTTATAACCACAAAAGTGACCATATCTCACAGGGCACCAAGCTATAGTAAGAATTTTCACCATTCAAGGTATAAACAATTCATGATGCAATTTTTTTTAAGTGCATAGCCAGACATGGTATATGCCTTTAATACCAGCACTTGAGATTAAGGGCAGGTGGATATCTGTGAGAGTAAGGCCAACCTGGTCTACATAGTGAGTTCCAGGCCAGCTGGGACTACAGGGAGACCCTGTTTCAAAAAAAGTACAAACTAAAACTTCGCTCTCTTTAACTTGAGACTAGCTAGTGGAAAGAAAACATAAGAATGGTGAGGTCATCACCCAGAGACACGGAAAACCTTTTCCACTTTCTGTAGAAGCTGAGGGTTTGCTTTATTTCTGAATCCCTTCAAAAATCCGGAATCCAAAATTAGAGTAGCCATTTTGTGTTTAGTTTACAGGACCCATGCTGACTTCCTACCTCCTCCATTTGCAGAAGCAATTTGTAAGTGCTAGGATGGAATTGGAACATATGAAAACTCACCTTGTCATAGTCCTGGGACTAGCAAACTCCTTTACTCATAGATCTGGGTTTAATTAATATATTTTTCTGTGTAGCACATCAGTTTTGAGTGTTTTCCGAAACAAATCAGAGCCATAAGATCCCAAAGAGAGAATGCATAAAATAATATGAGCAAAGAAACTAGGAATGCATTGGTATTGTTTCCTTTACAGACTGGAAAACCACCTTATAGAACTGTGTCTACTGTCAGAGTAACACCCTTCTTGTAGCTAGCAGTGGGTTATTTGAAGAAAAAGGGTCAACTTACATGGTCTGTCTATATACATTAGCACCTGCAGATGCATCTATGGTCAGGGTGTTACATGGTCTCTATTAACAGCTGCTTTTCTTTTTAGTGGGAACATTGTAGGCTACCATGTGATTGTTCCCTGTAGTTCCTGCCTTCTTTCCTGCAACAATGGACACTTCTGGATATTTCACAGCCAGGCGGTTTATGGTATTAACAGACTAGACTCTACTGGTAAGAAACAATTGACATAAACATTCCCTTATAATATTTCTTTATCAGTACCTGAATAGAACCTCCCAATAGATCATTTCAGGGTTCCTCTGAGACTTTCACAGCTAGATTGGATGGGCAAAAGTCAAACATCCATCCCCTTTTCTCAGACATTTACTTATGAAAACTGTTAGCCAGAATTCATCACCATTTATCATTGAATTGAAGGGCATCATGCTTTTTTTTTTGTCTTTTTGAAGCAGGGTCTCCCTGTAGCCCCAGCTGTCCTGGAACTCACTATGTAGACCAGGCTGTCCTTGAATTCACAGAGATCCGCCTGTCTCTGCCTCCCGAGTGCTGGGACTACAGGTGTACGCCACCACACCCGGCTTTTTTTTTTTTAAATAAGGTCAAACTGAAATAGCCCAGATTGGCCTCAAACTACCAATCCTCCTACCTCCGCCTCCAAAGTGATTATAGGTATGTACCACTACACTTGGCTTCTTGCTGTTTTAAAATTAATACTTTTATTGTTGCAAGGTATTACCTTGATATGTATTCTGATTACAGAGAACATTTGAAGATTTTAAATGTGGTAGTCAAGGGTGTGTGTGTGTGTGTGTGTGTGTGTGTGTGTGTGTGTGTGTAGAGAAAGAAAAGGGGGCTGGAGAGATGGCTCAACAGTTAAGAGCACTGGCTGCTTTTACAGGGTACCGAGATTCAGTTCTGAGCGCCCACATGGTGACTAACAACCATAATTCCAGTTCCAAGGGATCCAACACCCTCTTCTGACCTCTGTGGGCATTGCATGACACTGATGCTCTTACATACATGCAGGCAGTACACTCATACATATTTTAAAATACACATTTTAGGGGCTTGAGAGATGGTTCAGTGATTAAGAGGGTTTGCTGACTCAGGTTCAGTTCCAGCACCCACATCAGGCAGCTCACAACCACCTGTAACTCCAATTCCATGGGATCTGATGCCTTCTAGCCTTCACAGGCACCTGCACATATATGGTACACATACAGATAAGCAGGCAAACATACACATACATAAAATAATAATAAATATTTGAATATCTATACATTTTAACATCTTTATTACAAGTTACAATAGAATTTTAATCAAAGGAAATACTTAACACTAATGTGTTATACTAATTATTTTAGTAAGAAAATATGCTAGGGGCTAGGGAGATGATTCAGTGAGTAAGAGAGCTTTCTGCACAAGGATGAAGACCTGAGTTTGAATCCCTAGCACCCATGTAAAAACCAGACATAACTTAGTATACCTGTAACTCCCTTCATAGGGGGCAGAAACAGGCAGATCCTAGGACCTCCCTGGCAGCCAGCGTACCAAAATGGCAAGCTTCAGATTCAGTGAGAGACCCTGTCTCAAGAGAATTTAAAGTTCCCCTTGAGTATAATACAGCGGAACACCCAGTGTCCTCTTCTGGCCTCTGCACACGTGCGTACACACACACACACACACACACACACACACACACACACACTGAAGATACACCCCACAGGGGTGGGGGAAGGGAGAAAGAAGAAGGAAGAGAAAAAAAGAATACTGATGACAAATTTAAAAACATTTTTATTTTGTGCATGTGTGAGTATGTGTGTGTATGTACACAATAGCATGTGTATGGAGGTCAGAGAACAACATGTGAGAGTCAGTTCTCTCTTTCTACCATGTGGGTCCTGGGGGTCAAACTCAGGTCATCAGACAAGTGCCTTTACTTGCTGGCCCTACCATCAAGTCTTAAGGGTATGTATCTCATTTTTTTTGTTTGTTTTGGTTTGGTTTTGAAGACAGTATCTTTCTGTAACCCCACCTGGCCTGGAATATCTTCTTTTTCTCCTCCTCTTTCTTTTTTTAAAATTTTTAATTAATTTTTATTTTAGGTGTATGAATGTTTTGCCTGCATCTATATAACTGCATTGCCTGCAGACACCGGAAGAGGGTGTCAAATCCCCTGGAACTGAAGTAACAGACACTTGTTAGCTGCCACATGGGTGCTGGGAATCCAACCTTCATCATTAAGAACAGCCAGTGTTGTTAACCACTGAGTTATTTCCAGTCTGCCCTCCACCCACCCTTTTTTTTTTTTTTTTTAATGGGCTTTTTGACACCGTTTCCCTGTAGCCCCAGCTGGCCTGGAACTTGATATGTAGACTAGACTGGCCTCGAACTCACAGTGATCTGCCTCCTCTGCCTCCTGAGTTCTTTGCCTCCTGAGTTCTCAGATTCTTCTTTTTCTTTTTCTTTCTTTTTTTTTGTCTTTTTGAGACAGTGTCTCCTTTTAGTCCCAACTGTCCTGGAACTTACTATGTAGACCAGGCTGGCCTCCAACTCACAAAGATCTGCCTGCTTCTGCCTCCCAAGTGCTGGGATTAAAGGCATGCACCACCACGCCCGGCCCTTGTTTTTCTTTTTTAAGGCAAGGTCTTATGTAGCCCAGGATGCCCTAAAACTCACTATGTAGCCAAGGATATAAACCTGACCCAAGCCTGGTTTTAAGAGATGCTGGGGGTTGATCCCAGGGTTTTGTGTATTCTAGGCAAGCACTCTACCAACTGAACTACATCTCTAACACAGTACACTCTTCTAAAAATTACACACACACACACACACACACACACACACACACATACACACATATATAATTTGCTTTAACAGATCAAGAGATCATGAATTGCAAGCTAGTTGTCAAAGTTTTTAGACCTGCCAATTATGCTTTTGTTTTTAAGATGACTTTTTTCTTTTAACTTCCTGAGATTCAACTATGGCTCTCAATCCATCACTTAGGCCTTTTAATTTGAAACTATATATGTTAAGATGGCCATTCTCTAGCAAGGACTTCTCTAACTTCCCTAAGTAAAATATGGACTCCTAATTTAGGCTTTTAATTTTATATTTGTGTTACTCATGGGACACATTAAAGAAAGTTTCTGCTTTGATACTGTTTTTCCTGCTTCACAGGATTCAAAACACAGGGTGGAGACTTTTCAGTTTTGATTTACTTTTGAATATTGGTCAGTTCTTCAAACACAAAAGACCAGCATTCTTCCATTTGCACTGAATATAATCCATGAGAAAACAGATGTACTGCAGGACTTCCTTCCTGCTTAGCAGGGAAAGGAAGGTAGTTCTTCTGTCAGATGCAATCTCCTCGTTTATTTTTTTGCCTTTGAACCAATTGTGCTAAGTTGTTTCATGGCTCTTGAGTACTGACTCCAAGAATATCAGACTTCTTCTTTGTAACGCTAATATTGTAATTTAAAGTAAGATTTTCTAGATGCTTGTTAAAAGATTTCTAATGGTTTTGAACTGTCCCTGAATCACCTTAATAAGTAACATCAAAGGAATGTATACAGTTTTATTAAATTCTAGACTGTTTAGACCAAAAAGGTCCCTAAGAGGTCTGTCTTAAGTCAGCTTTCACATATAAATCTAATTTCCCAGAACTTTCTCAAAGAGCCTTCAGAAATCTCAGCTCAAATTTCTTAGAATTAGGGCACCTATCCCCAAAGGCATATTAGTTCTCCATTTTCCTTTATGGATTCTAATTTTCACTTAGATCTTGGCCTAACAATTCCTTACAATCCTGTCAGCTCCTCAGTGCATGTTACCAGAAGCAGATCTTGGAGTGGGAGTTAGGAAGTGTTTTTTTATATTAAGCAATTCAGACACAAAACCGTTGCAGAAAATAATGTGGTAGGTATCTATATACTCTTCAAATAAAAGCTACCTTCTTGCCTAATTAGATTGCAATATCTCTCAAACAAGACAGACAGTTGATCATTCCCACTGATTCAACCATGTGTATGCCTCCTTGAGTGCCTAGGCAAGTTGAGCAGAGAGGGAGGGATGAATGACAGGCTGTATTTTCATGATATTTTAAAAGATTTGGGAGGCTGTAGAGATGACTCAGCAGTTAAGAAGATATTGCTCTTGCAGAGGACCCTAGTTCATTCCCCAGCATCCTTGTCAGGCAGCTCATAACTGCCTGTAACTCCATTTCCTTGGGAATTCATGAACACCATCTCTCCATACAGACACATACATACACCTAATTTACAAAAAGAAATCTTAAAAAGAAAAAAGATTTGGGCAGGCAAGATCGCTCAGTGGTTAAAAGTGCTTACTGCACAAGCCTGGTAACTTGAGTTTGATCCCTGGACCCATGGGAGGTGAAGACCAGAGAATACCCATAAGTTCACAAACCAGCAGGCCTGACATATGCAGTGCAGCAAAGCAGAAACAAGAAGAAAATCCTGCCTCAGTACGGTGGAAGAAGAGAATAGAAAATCCCCAAATTTATCCTTCCATAAGTTCCAGGGGATCTGATGCCCTCTTCTGACCTCCTCAGGCATTGCATGACACAGATGCACTTAGATTTCATACATATAAAAAAAAACAACAAAATATTTTTTAAAAATTAAAAAATTTAATGAACTAAATCACATATCAAATAGGCAAAAGTCAGAAGCATGATGAATGAGATAAATTAGTAAAATACATATGGCATAATACCATTTTTATAAGATTTATTTTTATTTTATGTGTATGAGTGTTTGCTTGCATGTATGTGCACTATGTCTGTGCCTAGTGTCTGTGGAGGCCAGAAGAGGGCATGGGTCTCCTGGAACTGGAGTCATAGACAGTTGTTAGTCACCATGCGGGTGATGGAAACTGAACTTGAGTCCTCTGCAAGGACAGTCAGTGCTCTTAACTGCTGAGCCAGCTCTCCAGCATCTGTAATGCAATTTTAAATTATTGTTTGTTATATTGACTGCTTCAACCTGGTTAAAGTTTAAAGTTCAAGGCTTTAACTCCAGTTCCAGGGGATCCAACACCTTCTTCTGGCCTCTGCAGACACTGTACAACATGAGTGCACTTCCATACATGCAAGCCAAACATAATACACAAAATAAAAATAAAAAAATACAGTTTTTAAGTTTAAAGTTCTACTTTGACAGCCTATAGCCTGAAGCCCATGTGCTTTAAGGAGTCATGCTATAACTGGCTGCTTTCCCCCCCCCCTCATACTGGGGATTGAACCTAGGGTCTCACACATCCTAGGCAAGGGCTCCACTACTTAGCTGTACCCCAATCTTTTTACTTTTTTGAGAGGGTGTCTCAGTAAATTGCTGAAACTGGCCTTGAACTCACTCTTACTGCCTCAATCTCCCCAGTGGCTGGGATTATAGATCTATATCTGCAGGCCCATCTTTATCTTTTCTTAATCAGAAAAATGATACTAATGACTGCTATGCATATTCTTCAAATGAGACTCATTTAGAAATTTCCCTTTCATCCTTCAAAAAGGCACTTAGTGGAAAAGAATCTTTGAAATCCCTATTCTTAAAAGTTATTAAAATCGATTTTTAAATTATCAATGGGCCAGACATAGAAACACACACCTTTAATCCCAGCACTCAGGGGCAGGCAGATCTCTGTGAGTTCCAGGCCAGCCTGGTCTATATAGCAAGTTCCAGGCCAGCCAGCACTACAGAATGAGACCCTATCTCAAAAAATAAATAAATAAAATAAAGTTTTTAAAAAGAAAAGAAAAAAAAGAAGAAAAAGAAAAAAAATCAATGTAAAGTGTTTATAACATCATGTACCTGGAGGTGAGTTTGAGCAGATGGACTCCAGAGATCCCTTTGAACTCTTAAGTTCCTAACATTCAAGCTCTTGCTTAAAAGGGTTTAAAGAATGTTTATGTCCTAGATGAATACTATTAGATAATTTAATTTATAATACAGCTCTCTGCAGCTGTTCTCTTCACTAGTGATACATTGGTTTATATAAGAATCTTGGCAGAGAGTTTTATGTTCTGAATTGCAATAGTAAGCACTCACTAAAGAATTTTTTGGCCTCTTATTTTCAGGTGTAAACTTCCTACTTTGGGGCAACTTGCCAGAGACAGAAGAATGTGCAGATGAAGATATGCTAGAAACTTCAGCAGAAGAATGTATCCGATAAGTGGGATTATGATGCAGCTCTAATATTTCTATAATCACTTTTTCTACTTAAAATATTTAATGAGCCAATTTTAACATTGCTAGTAAAGATTTGCCGGTGTTTTGATTTTTTTTTTAAATATTTTATTTTTTTTTATTTTATGTGTATGTGTGTATTGCCTGCATGTAGGAAAGTGCACCCATGTCATGCGATGCCCACGGAGGACAGAAGAGGCTGTCATATCCCCTGGAACTGGAGTTACAGACAGTTGTTAGCTGTCATGTGGGTGCTGGGATTCGAATCTGGGTCTTCTGCAAGAACAGTCTCTGCAAGAACAACCAGTGTTCTTAACCGCTGAGCCATCTCTCCAGCCCCCAGTGTTTTGATTTTTTTTAAAAAAAAATAGAACATTGATTTATTTATTTGATATCTCAACTAATTACCTCAATTTAATTTAAGCCAATGAAGCACTTCTTTTCCTCTGCCTCTACTATTGCCTCTCCCTGACCCCTCTGCCCACCGTAGGTATATTTTTAACTTCAAATCAAAGAAGATTCTTTCACATGTTGCTCAGCTACCTCCCAATTGGGGAAGAGTTTTTCTACAATTTGATCACAAATACCATTGATCTTATATTTATGAATAAGAACATTATTACCCACTTCTTTATCACATACACAAAATAAGAGGATCAACTTAGAATGACAGAGGTTAAAAAAAAAAAAGGAGCAGGCTGTTAGTTCCATGGGTACTGGTTATCATATGCTATATTGATGAGAATTTTTTAATATGGAGCAAAACTTCGTGAATTAGCTTACAGAATAAGTTAAAACTGAAATATATGGTGCAGTCCTTTGACTGACTCCTTAGCATAATGTTGAACAATGAGCTTGTCAGAAAATTACCAAAATATACTGCTTACCCCTGTTAATTATTTACCTACCTCTAAAGCTATTACAGATACTGTACCATGAAAGCCAGATAAAGTATACCACCTTGGGGGCTGGAGAGATGACTCAGCTTGTAAGAGTACTGGTTGCTCTTGCAGATGACCTGGGTTCAGTTCCCAGCACCCACATGACACTTGTCCTTAATTCCAGTTCCAAGGGATCCAACACCATCTTCTGATTTCTGTGGGCACTAGGAACACATGTTGTACACTTATATACATGCAGGCAAAACACTCATAAAATAAAAATATATAAAATCTTAAAATTTTAAGTAAACCATCTTTAAAATTTTTCCCATTACCTATCAATTTTTTATTTACAGAAAGTTAAATAGCAAATTTTAGATGAATAATTTGGGTCCAAACTCTAAGATAGAAAAAAGCCTGAAGAAGTGATTACTTAAGCTACTACTATTATAAAATTTTTCATCTTTTTCATTGTTTTTTAAAACTGCATTCAGAGCCACACATGAACAAGAAATTGAGATAGTGTTAAATTCTGGCTTTATGTTTTAGCATTTTGTCAATAATGATGCCAGAGCAGAATGAGTTGTGATTTTGTAAAGTTGGTTCAAAACAATGACCCTAGAGACTGCTTGTTCAAAAAATGGCCCTAGAGACTGCTCAGTTGGCAGAAGCACTTGCTGTGTAAGCCTGATGACTTGAGTTCAATCCTTGGATCCCATGGTGGGAGAAAACTGACTTGGGAATATGTCTTCTGACCTCCATATGTGTGCCTTGGTGCGTATACACACACGCGTGCACACACACACACACAATAAATTTAAAATTTTAAATGATCATTGTCCTTTAGTTTTTTTTATTATACCCACTTACCTTATATGAAAATCAGAGAAGTAGTATATGAAATACAGTCTAGAAAGACTAATGCTGCTGGGTGTGGTGGTGCATGCCTCTAGTCCCATCACTGGAGAGGCAGAGACGGGCAGATCTCTCTAAGACCAAGGCTAGCCTGGTCTACAAAGCAAGTTCCAGGTCACCTGGGGCTACAGGGAGGCCCTGTCTCAAAACAACAAAGACTAATGCTTACAGACTAACACTATTCTGGGTACTTTATACATTTTATATACTCATCCCTAAGATAAGCCCATAATTCATTTGCTAATGGAACAGTTGAGGCAGAGAGTGGTAAATAACTTGTCTAGGGTGACATTACTGAGCAGAGATGAGGACTGATTGGACTCAGACATACTCTTCAACTCTGACTTCCTGATCTTCATGCTATACCCCTGGACATCTCCAGACATGGATCAGCCACAGCCTCACTTAGCTAGGGTTCATGTTGGTGAGCTAGCTTCATTGTTATGTAACCAAGGGCAGAACTGACAAATTTGTAAATTCCAGTTTACTTGATCTCAAAAGTGACTTGTGTGCGCAGACAGAATCATTCGCTGTAAACTAAGCTAAAAGGTGCTCTATCACTGATCTCTATCTACAGGGCCACCACCCCCCCTTTTTTTTTACTTTATTGTGAGACAGGGTCTCACTATATTGCCAAGCCTGACTTTCAACCTGCTCTGCAGCCTAGGCCGCAAACTTAACAGTCCTTCTCCCATGGCCTCTCCAGTAGCTAGAACTACAGGCCTGCACTACCAGGCCTGGCTCTCTTTTAGATCTTGTTCTCCCAGAACAAAGTGGACACAAGGCTTAAAGAATTAAAAAGAGAAAATGAAAATAAATTCATAGCATGTTATATATTTCTTCAGTTAACTTGTTCTACTAAAGAAAAAGTTTAATACTAGAGTATAGACTGTTAAAATTGAAGGTTAGCTATCAATAGAGTTCATCTGGTTCTGGTTCAGCTTAGGACTTCAGAAGCCACACTTGACTGAGGATTTTAAAAAAGATTTTATTATTTTTATTTTATGTGTATTAATGTATTGCCTGTATGTATGTAAGTGCACCCATGTTGTACAATCCCCACAGAGGTCAGAAGAGGGCATCAGAGCCCCTGGAACTGGAGTTACAGACAGTTCTTAGCCACCATGTGGCTAGGAACTGAACCCAAGTTCTCTACAAGAGGACTTAACCAATGAGCCATCTCTCCTGCCCCAACTGAGGTGGCTCTTTAAAAAGGTAAAGCCAACTAGAGGCCCACTGACTTGAAGTAAACCCCAAATATTCCATTCCTGTGGGACAGTGCTTCAGGGGACTCAGCTACTTTTAGATGACTCTGTTATAGGAAAAGTCCATTTTAGGTAGAAAATGGATTCATACTTTTAGAAAATATATTTTTTATTAATAATATCTTTTTCTTTTCTGGGTTTTTGTTGTTTCAGCACTGGGCCTTAGCATCCTAGACAAGGATTCTGCCACTGAGCTACAGTTTTTAAACGCAAATTGCTTACAGTTTAGCAAGTCCAAAGCAGAATCTTTATGTGTGTGATTTAGCAAATGCTTTCTAGTCTAATATAATTCCAAGGTTAAAATCCACCTTTGCTTTTGTCATCTCTTAGTATTCGATTCAACCATCTATTATTCTCCTATTACTGCTCACACTTGACTTCAGGGAGAATGAAGGGGGTTGGAGAGAGGATATAATTCATGGCAGCAAGTGAGTTAACAAAGGCATGCTTAAAGTGCATTTAAGAGACAAAACACAACCATCCTGAGTAATAGGAAAGAGTGGGAGTTGAGAACACTTTAGGGAAGAAATAATACTTGAAACAGGCTTTGCACACACCAGTCTGCCAGCTGGGATGAAAGTTTTGTGCAGAGAACAGTATGAACAAATTGGTGGTTGGGGGTTGGTTAGAAATAAATTTATCTTGCTTATTTGGGAAATTCTAAGTGGTCCCCACACCTTGTAAGATAATTATTGAGAATTAATTCAAAATAAAGCTAACAAGGAAGGTTACTCTCAGTTTAAAGATATTCTGCCATTGACTACTATCCTCAGGCCTCTTGGGGTAAGTCTACAGCACAGCTCTCCGCGCTGGGACTCCCTAAGCCACATTCACCCTTCCATCACCCCCCTCGCCATTCTATACTCCTAGTTTGAGCCCTGCGCCACTCCTAGTCTTGGGGCCCCAGACACCTGGGGAACCAATACTGCTTCCTGACCCTTCTCACCCAGAGCAACCCAGTCCCTTTCTTGGGCTCCAGGAGCACCACTTCTGGTCCTGGCCCCGCCCTCACCTCGCTCTGCTTCCCTGGGCCTGCACCACCGGCTAACTCTCCTAGCCTGCACTACTATCCTCAGGCCTCTTGGGGTAAGTCTATAGCGCAGCTCTCCACGCCCGCCGGGACTCCCTAAGCCTCATTCACCCTTCCACCCCACCCCCACCCCCCTGCCTCCCCCCTGCCGTTCTATACTCTAGTTTTGACCCTGTGCCATTCCTAGTCTTGGGGCCCCAGACACCTGGGGAACCAATACTG